TATATATATATTAAGTAACTCCCTAGTTCAGAAACCTTCTGATTGATGAGATCCAACGGTTGGGGTTAAAATGGGGCAAAACGATGTCGTTTAGATGGGTAGGGGCTGGGCCGATTTTTGGAACTGTTTGGGCAGGGATTGGCTGAGAAATGAATTGGGCTTGGGAAAATTATCAATACAGCCCAAAACATGAGCATTTTACCTTTTTTTATTTCTTTTCTTAGTCTTTCTAAATTAAAACCTAAAAATAAAAACTAAATTAATTCTTAACCCCAAATTATCCAAGGAAATTAAATTAATTAACCCTAATTATTATTGTGAGCATGTGATTTTTTCTTCGCATGAATTATTCCTACAAAAATTCTTAGATTTAGGATTTTCCTTTCAATTATTTGATTTTCAGGATTAATTGCATAATTTTTGTGTTTGTTGGTATTTTTGTGTGCATTTTTAATTTATATAATTCATAAAAACACACAAATATTGCATTTTCATTTAGTATTGGATTTCACATATTTTTAAAATTAATTGGTAATTAGGATTTTACAAAATATACTAAAAATAAAAATTTGGATTTATTTCTTGCTTTGTTTAAGTTGAATATTTGTTAGTTTCCTTAAAATTATTATTAATTAATTATCTTGGTCATTAATTAGGGTTTAATACAATTAGGTGGATTAATTTAATTTTTTAGGATTTAATTCAATCTTATTTTATTCTAATTTCAATGTTAATTTCAAAAAAAGAAGAAGAGAAAATCTTTAAATTTGGGGTCCATTAAAAATGCCCAATTTGGTCCAAAAATACTCTAGCCCAATCTTTATATCCCCCAAACCCGGTCAAATTTACCCAGAACCGGCCCAAAACCCATGCCCCGACCCGGTCTCTCAGTAACACAGCCAAACGATGCCGTTTTTGGGGGCGAATGATCTCAACCGTCTAGGTTGATCAATCCAACAGTCCAGAGGTTAGGGATAATATATATATATATATATATATATATATATATATATATATATATATATATGTCCTAAGGCCTACCCCCCTTCGCCATCAACTCCTCTCTCACACAAACCCTAGAGACCACCACCGTCTCTATCGTCTACCATCGTGAACCGCCAGTTGGAATTTCCCTGCACCAGTGGCGATTGTCCAAAGACCCCCAAATGAACATCACCTGACCAGCTTGCCTTCCTCTTTCCAAATACACACCCTGTTTCCCTCGAATCCCACCCAAACTGCTCGAATCCTTGAAACCTTAGCGGCCGCCTTCACCGTGTCCGGCGGCGCCACAACCCAAATACCACATTTTAACACCATAGGTTCTCCTAAACCCCCTCATCACAAATTCACTATCATTTTCCTTCAAATCCCAGCCGAACCTGTCGAATATTGAATTAAAGTCTCGGCCAAACCCTTCTACTACCAATCAATCGTAAAATTACACCAGATAACCACCACACCCCCCTCACCTCATATCTTGTACCAATTACCGTAAAAATCCCACCAAGATTTCCGAATTGAAGATCTGTGATTCAGAAGAGACCCCGGCTTGAGAATATCACTGATGCACGACCAGGTTGTGTCCTTCTTTTCTCACAACATTTTCTTTTTCCTTTCTTTTTTTTAATGATTGTTTGCCTCCAATTTGGATTTCTTCTTCTTTCATTTTTTTTGGTCAAATTCTGACGGTTTCCTTGCTTGAATGAGTGTCAAATTTCAATGATTTAGATTAGTTTATTTAGGTTAATTTGTGCATCCCACTATCTAAACTGATTTAGCTTCTCATGTTCCAAGATGTGGCACTTTTAGTTTTGGATAATCTATGGTATTGATTTATTTTGTTTTTACTCCTAGTATTCATTAGTTGATTAGGTTAATTTGGATGATGTTTAGTTGTTCGAACCTGAGTTTGTCTGTATGGTCTGCTTACAGGCTTAAATAATCGTGTTTGGCTAATCCTAAGTTCAAGTTAAAGTTTGTGAGTGTGATTGAAACTTAGTTCAAATTCAAGAGCTCAAATGCAACATCATTTAACTGAGGGTCGTAAAAATGGTAATAAGTAATTTAAAATCAGGAACTAGGGAAAAATTGAAATAACTAGTGACTAATAGGGTAAATGAGGGAATAAGCTTTAGAGAATCTGGCAATAACAGAAATAGAAGCCCCTAGAAGCTTCTAGGTTAGGGTGTCAACTTGAATTTTAGAATTCAGATAGTATAACTTGAGTAGGAGGTCAGTAATTCAGGGACCTTCTAAGGAAAAACAATAATTAAAATGGACTAAAAGCTAAAATAAAAATCTGAAACCTACCCTAATTCATTGCCTATAAAGGCATGCTATTATTGCCTTGCAAGGAGAGTTTTTTGGAAGCTTAGAGAGTCTAAATTTAGAGAGGCTGCAGATTTCTTATGAGTTTGGGAGAATCTGAAATTTGAAGAGCCTAGAATAGAGGGAGATTTTTAGGAACTTCAGAGATTTTCTTCAGAAAACACTGTTCCATTGACCCTTGCTATTGAATTCTGAAGTTAAAACAACATTTGGGTAGCTGATAGTTGAAACAAATTGAAATCAAGTCTATTTTTGTTTTTTTGGTTCATAACTGATTCAAAGGTATGGACTACTGCTCTTTTAGCTGCTGATTCTGCCTACTACTGCTGCTCAAGCTAACCTTCAGTTTCTTTTACTTTGTTTCTTTTGCATCCAGGTATTAATCACAGCCCCTCCATGATATAGCTCTCAATTTGGAATAAAATATAGACTATACAGATGTGATTTTGTTTTTGTGAAGTCAATTAGTTTTTCTTTAGTTAAATCTTAGTATTGTATTAAACTATGGACTTTTGAACTCTATTAATTTTAGTTTAGCTCTCGTAGGGTAGATTAGTTGTTCAACTCACGTCAGTTTGAGTATAAAAACGAGCCTGGAGTTTAGCAGGCTCTATCAAAGTCTATTGTGTTTAAATTATTGGGTGAAATGGTTCTTTGATTTAATGTTTAGTTGCCATAAGTTGATGATTGTTTTATGTATGTCTAGCCAATTGTTGGACCTCATTTGATCCTCTCCTGTGATCCCTGATATGGTAATCAGTCATGTTAATTTTTATAATGTGGTATCGCATTTGTTAGTCAGACATGAGTCCATTGTAAGCATGATAATTCAGATTCAAAAAGGGATCGTTTGATCAATTCAATAACGGTTGAATAATACAATTTTACTCATGAGCATTTGAAGTAACTTTTATGTTGATTTATCCATATAAAAATACTAAAGGATTAGCGTGGCTATCATATGCATAAATTGGGTATACGGGTGTTATTGGGCTGCATTTGAAGGCCCAATTTGAAAACACACTGGTTTAGAAAATAACAATCCAAATACTTTAGTACTTGATCAATCAAAACTTGCAAGAGGACCAAGGAAGACCATAATTAGATAACAAGTAGTCCATGTCCCTCCAAGATTTAACTTGAATGTCCTTAAAAAGTAAAATTTAGGTGCGCCGCGCCGAACGAAATCAAAAATGTGTGGCCCTCGTTTAAATTAGTTTCTTAAAACACTTAGAATTTGGGATATGCCATTTAGTAAATTTTCATGTCCTCCCGCAAATTTAATAACGCGTTAGTCTCTTTAGGTGCATTCCTTAGTAATTTTACATTTTTAAACTCGGGTGTGCATTTCATGTGACCCAAATCCAAGTCTCAAAACGTTGAATAAGATGTGTTCCGGATTGCGGGTGCATTTCATGTGAAGCAATCCAAAGACACTTTTTAAACGACGTTCAATTTCCTTATAATTAATAAAAGCAGTAAATAATTTAAAATTACACCATAGGTTTAAAATACATATTTAAAATCAGATAATAGGCCAATTATAATAGATTAAGCAGCCGAGCTAGAACCACAGAATCCAGAGGTGCCTAACACCTTCCCCCGGGTTAACAGAACCTTACTCAAGAATTTATGGTTCACAGACTTCAAAAGGAAAATAGAATTTTCCTCGATCTGGGATTTTAAAATAAACCGGTGGCTTTGGACACTAGAAATAAAACTATCCAAAGTGGCGACTCTGAAATAAATAAATAATCCCATTTTGGATAATGTCACCTAAATTGAAAAAACTCCCTTATACACTATCCTTCGGGGTGGTCTATAAAAGAGGAGGTATGACAGCTCTAGCGACTCTGCTGGGGAGGGCAAACCCAGAAATTCGATACAGGGTTTAAGAATTCGAGCTTACAATAGATGTTATGATTGGTTTATATGTTATCTGATTTTCCTACATGTTTCACACTAAATGTGCTAAATGCTTTACCTCTTTGATATTATTTGAAATGTATATAAACTGCTAAGAAACCCTTCTCTTCTCATCTTCAGGGATATGCTTGCTGGTCATGACTCCCTATTCTGTTAGTTTCATACCCTGAAATAAGAAAGAGGCTCGGACAAGTTACTAAGCCAGATGGCCTTTTGGTTCCTGATACGTAGCCCCCTCATCAACTCGAGTTGTCCACTTGGGTACACAGTCGAAAATATATGCCCAGGTTTTGAACCTAGAATAACTCAACATCATGCCGGATCCCTAGTAGGAAAGTTTGTTTGCATCACGTGCATTTGACTTAGGGGGCTCAACACAGGGGTTAGGTCTATCGAGGACAGGTGACCTGAAATTACAAGACCATCCAGATGCATCCTACTTGCTACCTGTGCATTTATTTAATTCGGATCTGCATGTTGAGCGGCTTGTAAATAATGGGAGAATTTTGAAAAATAAAAGAAAAAGAGAATAGAGTTGAGTGAGTTAGTCACCTCTTGTGAAAAACCAATACTCAAATGGTACCGAAACTTAGCCAAATTTTTTAGAAAATCGAAGAAAAATAAAGTTTTTCAAAAATAGTTGGTTTTGTCAAATCTGCACGAACTACGCCAGTTTGATTCCTACCGGATGTGGGATACGGAGTCAACCCCCATCGGATCCAACTTTCCTTCTTGCAAAGATAGCTAAAAACAGTAAAAAAATTTAATCTTAGTCACAAATAAGTAGGGTGATGCCATTCTTGTTTAAAATAAGCTGAATGTCCCTAAAAGGGCACCAGAAGGCTGTTTTGCAAGAACAACCATCTTGGGTCATTTCCAATGGCTAGCGGGCACAACCTTTAAATCTTCTTCCCGAAGTGCTAAAAGGCCGTATGCGCAAAGCCAGTGTTTTATTTTTAAAATAAAAGAGAAAAGACAAAAAGAAAAGAAAATTTTTGAAAGAAAAAATATATACATTGTTTTTTCTCATTAAAATAACTCATTAAATCGCCATAATAAATGTGCAGGATGAGCACGAATGAAATTAAACACTTCACAGTCCTTAATGAGATCCCCCTGAAGCTCCACACGTGGTGGAATGATCTAGCAAAGGGCAGTAAAGAAACGGTGGTGAATGTTCTGGGAGGCCTTGTCAAACTATTAAACGTCAAGCCAAGCTCGGACATAATTGAAGCCTTGATACCATTCTGGGACCCAACTTGCAACGTATTCTTCTTCTTTGATTTTGAGCTCAGACTTACATTGGAGGAAGTAGGTGGTTATGCGGGCCTCAATGGGAATCTCAAAAGTTGATATCCGCTATCACCCAGACCGGTACCCCCCACAAATTCCTGGATTTGCTAAGCATTAGTCAAAATGTTCAGGATAGAAATCAATTTGAAGGGTATTGAACGCTCCAATATTTATATCATCGATATGGTAACCCATGAGGTTTTGAAGAGCCAAATGCCGGTCTGACCCACGCAGAATACAAAGACAAGTGGGAGGCTAGGCGGGGTTTAGCTTTCATGGTATCCTTTATGGGTGTTGTAATCTATCCCCTGAAGGATGGGAATATAGAAATAGATCTTGTGGGAATAATCAATGTTGAAATCAAGAAAGCCAACAATATTGTGGTTCCTCTAATCGTGTCTGAAATCTACCGAGCCTTGACTTCTAGGGTTGCAATCTACTACTTCAATTATGGTTGCAAGAACACCTCTGCCACCGGGTTGGGTACATGAATTATGATTCGACCGGTCTGAGCTGCATTGAAGAGTTTGAAAGCCAGGTAGCTGGTATTGAATTCCCTACGGGCACTGAAGCTTGGTTTGAACATTTGAGATCCTTGACCGCCGATAAAACTGATTGCGCATTTGGATGACTTCCCGTAACTAAAGCAGTGTACAGGTCAGCTGAAGTGTCTTATATCCTCTTGATGAGCATTCGGAGTATCCAACCTTATGCTTCATACAGAGTGTTGCGCCAATTGGGAAGATTTTAACCCATCCACAATGATGAAGATTTGAGTAAACATGCCATTGAATAAGGTCCAAAAGCTGCATTTCCAAAAGGGAAAATTCGCCAAATGTGGAATAAGTTTAGGTTTCTTGAATCTAAGACCATAGTGCGAGACCGAGCTAGAGGTGAAGCGGACCTCAAGTACATTGAGTGGTTCGGCAAGAAATTCTAGATTCCTAAAAGGCCTGCAAAGAGACCACATCTCCAACAATTCACAGTTGAGACACAACCGATGTGGGGTTGGCTGACCAAAGAGAATGAATACATAAGCAAATTAGAAAGGAAAGTCATGGAGCTTCAATTTGAAAATGGTGTTCAAACCACAACCGACAAGGGAGAAAAGATGAAACTGGCCCAGGTAAACGATGCCCTTAAAGCTCAGATCCGAAAGATGAAAATAGCTGCCAATAATCTCGAAAGAAGTCAGGCTGATGAGAGACTTATAAGTGGACTAAAAAAGAAAGTCCTTGAATGCTGAGAAAACCTAGAAAAGTCTGAAGAAAGCCTAGCAAAAATTCAGGCACGAAGGACAAAGAAAGCAGAAGAACTGGCACAATTTGTGCAACAAATGAAGAGAAATTAGGAAAGGACCATTACCAGCCTAAGAAGAAAGATAACTATTCTTGAGGATGAGATAACCAAACGAGCTAAAGATTTCAAGGCTGACAGGGAGCACTGTTATAATCTGATTGCTAAAATGGCGGCAGAAATACAACAAATACAAGATCAACACTTTCATGGCTCCCAAGTGTTAGAAGCCCGAAACCGGCAGATAGGGCGATTACTTCAGGAAAAGAGAGAATTAGAGAAAGGATCAGGGCCATTGATGACTACATTACCATTAAGTGTCAAGCGTGCAAGGATATGACTCGTACCACGTTTTTACCGCAGTAATGACTTTTTTCTGTCAAGTTATGAGTGATTTGGAGCAATTACAAAGGGGACTCACATATAAGCCCGCGACGAGGCGGAATGATGCCTCGCTGGCCCCAGTAGTTGAAGTATTATTGTATTCAAGAGTTTTCAATCATTGAGTCTGTATTTTTGCTTTGAGTCAGTAGTTTTATTTCCAAGAAAAAGAGTAGTTAACATCTTTTATAATAGAAGATTTATTATTGAAAAATGAAATTCCCAAAAATTGTTACTCTATTTTTCATATTCATTTTCCTGAACTACGCATGATCTGATTCACGTGGCGTCGTGATACGTAGGAAATCCTCATTGGATTCGGTTATAATCTTGTAAATAACTCCAATAAAGAAAATGGACAAATGATAAAAGTATAGAGGAAAATAAAAGCAAGAAAAACAGAGAGTGAAATCAAAGGAGAGAAAATGGGAAAGAATAAAGAAAAACCGGGACGAAGCACGCAACCGTTGCAAAAGATATAGAAACCCATTTAACTGCATAGGTGCATTGCACCCCAACGTGTGATTACCTATCTGTTATTTGCCACAAACTACCCATTTGCTGTTGTCCATCCATCCAGTCCAGGTTTTTATAGAACGGTGGTTGGTTTTTGTAGTAGTCTGGCATCGCATCCATACTTCACGAGATCAAAGGGTAGCATTAAAATGTCTTCTGAAATCACTCTGCTAGCAATTCCTATCATGGATGAGAGCCCAATCTCGGGCATCCCGATTTTAGAGTTAGCAACCACCGAGGAAAATAGGTTA